GCCGCCGCTGGGCGCAGCCACGGCGCCGCGTCAAGCGCAGGCGCGCCCGCGGAGACGGAGATGACGCACGCTCCTCCGCTGCGCAGCCTCGGCGGCGACGGGGCTCCAGCGCCTGCAGGGGCGCAGCAGCAGCAACAGCAGCAGCAGAAGCCGATGGGCCCGCCGCCGCCATACCGCACAGGCTCAGGAGCCGCCCCCGCGGCGCGCCCGCCAGTGCCACCTCAGCAGGCGCCTGCAGCAGACGCAGGGTTGTCCCCTGCCACCAGATCGCCCCCGCACCAGCAGGCCCCGCCCCCGCAGCAGCCGCGCCCCCACTGGCCGCCGCTGAGCCTGCAGCAAGCGCTTGTCGGCACGGCCTTTGGCGCGGCGCGGCCCCCCGCGCCGGCTGGCGTCCCGCCCAGCGCCGCCGTGCTGGCGGCCACGGCCCACCCGCTGGGTCCCGCCGGCACGCCCCGCGCGTCTTGCGGCGGCGACGGGGACGGGGGCGCGGGCAGCAGCGGCGCGCCAGCGGGCTCAGGCGCGGGCGTGTCGCAGGCGCCCTGCAGCATGCCTGTGGTCAAGTCCCCCGCGGCACTGGCGGGGCCGGCGCCAGCGCCGCCCCCCCTTGCGGCGGATCCCGGGGCGCCGGCGGCGGCTTCCGGGCCGCAGGGCTGGCGCCTGCCGAATGTGTCATGGCCCGCGCCCTGGCCGCCCGCCCACGCGCACCCGCATCCGCACGGCGGCCCCCGCGGCCCACCCGACGCAGCCGCAGCCGCGCTCGCGGCCGCCGCAGCGGCGCCCACGGCCGCGCTGCAGATGCCGCCGGTTGCGCCGCACCTGGGCATCGCCGCGCCGCACGCCCACGCGCAGGCCCCGTTGCTGCCGCACGTTGCGCCCGTCCTGATGGGCCCTCCGCCGCCACCTGAGCCGGTGACGCCCGCAGAGGCGTCGATGACATCAGCGGCCGTCATGCTGCAGCTGCAGCAGCAGGCTGAGCAGCAGTTTGCGCACGGCCAGCGCAGCGCCAGCGAGACGGACTCGGGGCACGAGGTCAGCATGCGGCCCGCCGCAGGCGCCGGCGCGGACGCCGCTGCCGCCGCCGGCG